TAGGACCAGACTTAGTGCATCAAGCTATGGAAAATGTAAAGGTTATTCAAGAGAGATTGAAAACAGCATAGAGTCGTCAGAAATCCTATATAGATGTTAGGAGAAGAGGCTTAGAGTTTGAAGTAGATAATTGGGTTTACACCCATGAAGGGTGTTATGAGCTTTGGTAAGAAGGGGAAGTGAGTCCCTGATATATTGGTCCTTACAAGATAACCAAGAGGATTGGCAATGTAGCTTATGTGTTAGAGCTACCCCAAGAGTGAGCAGTGGTCCATCCAGTATTTCACATTTCCATATTGAAGAAGTGTATCTGCGATCCTTCACTTATCATACCTATTGAAGATATTAGTATTAAGGATAGCTTATCTTATGAGGAGATTCCCGTGCAGATTCTAGATCGTCAAGATCGCAAGTTGAAAACCAAGGAAGTAGCATCAGTCAAAGTTCTGTGGAGAAATCAGTTTGTTGAGGAAGCTACTTGGGAAGCTGAGGAAGACATGAAGAAGAGATACCCACATCTCTTTGACTCCGGAGAAATTTCAAACTAAGGTATTTATCCTTTTCTTGCCATTTGTTGTAAGTTGGCATGTTGTATTTATATTTTGATTGTTGGATGTTTGAGCTGAATGTTAGATGTTACACCTTAGCCTTCTTAGAGTAATCTCATTCGAGGACAAATGTTCCCAAGGGCGAGATATTGTAACACCCCGTTATTTGAAAGAACTAGAATTAGAAAGAAACCGTTCCGAAAATAATCAAATTTGGACATTTGAGCAAGTTATGTGAAGTATGAGTTTTGGGTCAACTTCAAACGACCATAACTCACAGAACATGATGAGTTAGGTGGGCTACAATATATCAAATTAAAGGTCTTTGAATTATCTTTTGAATGCCACCGAGCTTGCTAATTTTTGAGTTCGTATGAGGGAGATATTCCCATTTGATGTGGGGCTGTCTGGATAAGGAAACTCAACCAAATTTACGAAGGGTATTTTGGTCTTTTCATTACCCAACTATTTAAATTCGTTTTTAGTAATTTATTTGGAGTCTAAACTAATTTGGTTGTGTTTACACTTTATAAATTTACGCTAGGGTTTTGAGAGAAGAGAAAGGAGGAGAAAAATAGGAGAAGGGGCTAAGATTCATTGCGTTCTTGAGATCTCGCTTGTGGATTTCGCCAAGGGTTAATCCCTACGATGTATGTGAGATCACCTAGCATTGGGTTTGTTCACCGACGTGCCAATCATGATTTAATTCAGCGTAATTATGTTCTTGAAAGAAGAGTTTATGAGTTCTTGATAAATTTGTTGAAAGTTTCGTTTGAATCTTGATTGTTGAGTCTTGGAGGAAAGGTATAGGACGGCCCTGGCAATGTGAGGCAAAATGTTGTACCATCACTTAAGCTTATAGAGATAGTTGTTGGTTAGAGAAACTCCCAAGAAGATATTTTGTATACTTAAATAACCAGAGTTATTTGTATTTCATATACAAACTGAATTGTTATGTGTTTTCATAAATGCACTGAGTTGTTATCTCCATATTTTAAAGCTTTTATTTATACTGCATCTTTAATTCTGCTTAATATTAAAAAGAGTTGAGTTGAGTTAAGGAGAGGTAAGTGTGTCTTTCAGATTCCAGTTCAAGCTTATGTTTGTTTAGATTTCGCCTCACATGCTAATACATTTAATGCACTGATGCCATTTGGCATACATCATTTTTTGATGCAGATATAGGTAACCAGGATCATCATCCAGTTCTTAATTGATCTAGTTGAGCACTCAGAGTCTTGTGGTGAGCCTCCTTCTTTATTGAAGGATCCTTTTTTATTGCGTTGTTTAGTATTTTCAGTTGTTAGGATGATCGGGGGTCTTGTCCCAACATCCCTCATAGTTTTAGAGGTTTCATAGACAGATAGATATAGTTCTTTAGTCTTGATATTTCAGTTTTTTGATTTTAAGACTTGAGTTGCCATTTTGGCTAAGTTGAATGTTGTTTTCTAAAACATTCTCAGTTTATCTAGATAGTTTATTTAAGCTTGTATTTAAAGTACTTTTAAGTTGAGCAAGTCTTCCGCTGAGAGCCTAGCCAGACCAAGGGTTTGCTTGGGCAAGCAATGGTTCTCGAGTGCCAGTTCCGCCTAGAGTGTAGGCTCAGGGCGTGACAGTTTGATGGATTGGATTAGAAAGGATAGGATTGGAGTAATATTGAACTTTGACTAGCTATTATTTTAGGGAAAAATAACATTCAAACTAACCATTTTAACTAGAAAATAATAGTTTGACAGATAATTGTGTGTAGGGATAAAAACATACATGTATTCACATCAAACCAATGAATATAAGAGATTTACTTTAGTAGGTACTTTTATTATTTGACTAGTTTTGACGCACATGCATTTCACATAAATGTCAAACTATGTAGTGCATCATTTTTTAAAATGATGTCAATATTATTGAACCAAAAATTTAAGTAAACGATTACAAATGGGCTAATAAAGTATAATTTCCTACGAATAATGGATGTAAAGTTTCTTATGATTACTAATTGATGAGCCCGCGAGTTGGACTCATTTAGGGATTTCTTAGGATAGATTTAGTGTCCTCAAATGCTCATTTTGTGCAACTACCTGATGCAAAACCCTTGATTCTCAGGTACATGGAGTGAGGAAGAAAGCTAAGGCAGAAATGGGAAATAGAGACAACACAATCAGCAAACAGAAGGGAAAAACAGGCCTAATGATCGCCGATTCCACTCGGCGACTCGCCAAGTTGCCACTCTACCACCTAGAGTTACAGAATGCTGAGGCCAAGTTCCCACTCTACCGCCTAGAGTTACAGAATGCTGAGGCGACTCGCTAAGTTTCCACTCGGTGTGTCGCTGATCGCTTCGGCGTTGGATGACCAGGTCGCCAAAAGTGTTGATGGAGATCCTCACAAGTGTTGATGGGCGCGATGCAAAGAGAAAGGGCGACTCACGGAACCACTCAGCGATCCCGATCTAAATTGCCTAAAATTACAGTGGATGGACCAAGAAGAAGTGAAAAATGAAGACGAGAGGAAGGAACATCGAAGAGTCACCGAACCATTGGCGAAGCCCGACTTACCTCGTCGATTGGCCCTAAACAATCAATCATCAGACTTGCAAAAAATGATTTTTGCTAGAGAGAGAAGGCATTTAGAAATGTAAGGAACACAAGTTGGAGAGTGAAAACACTTCCATTGGGGAGTTTAAGTGATTTTAGCAAGATTTTCTTGGAGATTTTGTAATAGAGGAGATTTTTAGTTTATTTTAACATTAAATTTTCATTTGTACACAGCTATGGAAGATAAGATGGATGTTGATTTTCTTCTTTTGACAATGCTTGGTTAAAACCCTCTTCTTGGGGTTTTGACTATGTAACCAATTATTGAGTTTTACTAAGTGGGTGTCATTGATTTGAAAATAATGGTGTTAATTTGAAGTGGGTGTGACTTGCTGCTGTGTTTCAAGATTGTCTTGCATGATTGGTGTCTCAAGTTCAGTGTTTTGTGCTTGCTCGAGAGAGAAGTGCAAAACCAAAGTCGCAAGTTCAGCATCCTTAGTAGTGGGTTTCCATGATTTCAGCTCGAGAGAGTGAAACTTGGTATCTATCCTTTGTATCTAGCTCGAGAGAGTGGATTTGATGAGGACGAGGGTTGGGAATCTTCCGTCTAGTGTTGAAGTTTGAAAGAATTTGACAAATATAAGGTAATTGTTCGAGAGAAAATTGCTTTGCATATAGTCCTACCTACCACAACAGTTTATACCATTTTGAGCATCAATGTTCACCCACTAAGTTGAATTCAATTATTGGTTGGTCAATTTCCCAAGTGTTACCCCACTATCTGATCGTTTCGTGTTAAGTGTTGCATTGGATTGATGATTATAACCTAAACTTTGAAGTGTAAATCAAAAAGGTGCAGTAAGTGTTCAAGTGAAGAGTTTGTTGTCATACTTCTATAACTGAGTTCGAAGGAAAAGCTAGTCTCTATGGGATCGACCCCAACTCATTTAGTTGGGTTATTATACTGACTAGTGATCATTGACACTTAAAATTGGATGAAGTGTCTTTGAAACGTTAATCAAAATGGCGCCGCTGCCGGGGAATAGCATGACTTAGAATTCTTTGATCAAAGATTTGATTTATGAATTTGTTGACTGTAGTTGAATTGACTTAGGCTGCATTGTGTAGTGTTGGTTGGGTTACATCGAAGTAAAAATGAGTGAAGAAGAGGTGAATGGTAGTCAAGCAAGTCATCAGGACAATATCGATAATATTAATAGTGTCTACAACCCATCTCATGCTGGTGAAATGGGTGCAATTTGCTTACCCCAAGATGATGGGAACGTAACATTTGAGGTCACTAGCACGACTCTTCATCTCCTCCAAATGAGGGGACTTTATGGAGGGCTAGACCACGAAGACCCGCATGAGCATGAAAGAAATTTTATAGAGGTATGCAGCCTGTTTTCATTCCAGAATGTGTCTCAAGAATCAATTCGGCTTCGGTTATTTCCACTATGTCTAACGGGGGAGGCTAGCCAGTGGTTGGCCGAGCTACCGAACAATTCCATCACATCATGGGAGGAGTTGATTATAGAATTTAATGCAAGATTCGTTCCCCCTTCAAGGATGATGAAACTTAGAGATGACATTTGTTGACACCCAATTTTGGCATAACATTTTCAAAAATTCGTAACTTTTAAGTTTTATTTATTTTATAGCTCAAAATAAATTTTTTATAATTTTAAATAAGTTTATCGATAACTATCCTTATTTATCAAAAATTAAGATTTTTCTTTTATCAGTTGATCTTAAAATTACATTTTTACATGTCATTAGTTACGTTCATTAGATTTTTTTTTAATAGTCATTTTATTTGTTACATTTGTTAATATTTATTTTGATATTTTGCACAGTTTAGAAATGAATTCAAATACATATATTTTAGTTGATCGATAATTTTGGGCCACAATCTCAAGTCCACAATTGAACCCATTTAACAATTATTTTCTATATAAGTTTTGGTTAGGTTAAAAATAAGGGATGGTGAAATATTTTAGTATTGGGGAGTGAAATTTTCAGATTATTTTAATTCACAACATAGGGTCTCTTCATTGGGCATGCCGCCGAAACTCCACCACTTCACCACCCCAAAAGGCCCAAAACCCCCATTCATTTTCTCTCTTTTCCGGCAAAACACCACCGAAACAACCTCCAAACGACCACCTGAGTCCACCACCAAATCCCCTTTGGTCTTTTCTTCTTTTTCCGGTGAAATAGTCACCGGAAGCAGCTCCAGACAACAACATAACAACCCCATTTCATGCCTTTCTTTCCATCGCTGCTACCAGTTAGTCCTCACCTTATCCGACCAACCCAAACCCCGCCGGAATCCGGCGAAACCCATAGACCCACCCCCATTCTCCAACTACCAGACCCTTCCAGCCATTTTCTCCCTTTCAGTATACGACCTCAAGCTCGCTGAAACAGCACCAAAGCTTCGAACCAGAATCCCACCTCTGTTCCCCATTTTTCCCGACCAATCGAGCTTCAAGCTCCGGCGAACAACAGACCACCAACGGCTAGTCCCCTTTCCCTCTTCCCCTTCACGATTTTCTTTTGCTTTTTAGGTGTTTCAACTCAACATCAATGAGCTCTAGGCTCAAGCAACCAATGAAGCTCCAAACTCCAGCACGGCTCCACAAGTGAGCCAGTGAGCTCGAAACCGATCGCAACTCCGTCAAGCCACAGCAAATCAGAAATAAACAAGTCCATTTCTTCGACCATGAGCTCCAAACAGTAAGCAATTTTTTCCTCCCTTTACTCGTTATTACTATCACTCTTGTTTATAGATCTGCTTTGTTTTACTGTACATATAATATAATTATTGTTGTAAACTCTTTTATTTTTCTATTATAAATTATAGTGGTTGTTTATGGTTATTACCTATTTGCATTTAATTTTGATTACACTAGTTTTGTTTGTTGTTAAATAGATCTGTTAATTTTTATTATTATTTTCTTTTTAGTTTTTCTCGTTTTAGAATTATTTTGTTAATGTTTTTGTGTAGTCATCTGTTTAGAGTTCAAATATTATTCTTAATGTGATTACTCATCTTTATTGTCAATACTAATTTAATCAATAATTTATTAATGTCTTGTTGGAAATTTGATTTTTTGATTAACTTTGTTTAAATTTATCTTTGAGGAAAGTAAAATATGATATTTTGTTTGTTGCCTTATTGTTGTCTACAGTTAAAAGTATTTATGACTTTATTGCTACTTATTTACTTTTATTTTGGTCTCTGTTTGTACTTATTTGTATACGTGTTGTTATAGTATTATTATTGTTTAATCGATTTTTTTTCATGGTTAAATGTGAGTAATTCTATACTATAAAATGGCCAATGAGAAAATCTCTCCGCCGGTTTTGGAGGCCTCCCCATTTTAAAAGACGAAAATTTAGCTAAGTTTATATTTCTTTGTTTGATAAAAATGGCCATTGAGAAAATCTCTCCGTCGGTTTTGGAGGCCTCCCCATTTTAGAAGACGGAAATTTAGTTAAGTTTATATTTCTTTGTTTGATAAAAATGGCCAATGATAAAATCTCTCCGTCGGTTTTGGAAGCCTCCACATTTTAAAAGACGGAATTTAGTTTAAGTTTATATAAGTTTTATGTTAAAATTGGCCGATGAAGAAATTACCGTCGATTTCCAAGGCCTCCCATGTTAATAAGACGGATTTTTATTTTTAAATTAATATTTGATTCATTTATTTTTATTCATAACTAACACTTTTACTACGTGTCTTTACAGGTACCCGGAGGTACTTCCCATTAAAGTTATTTGAATTAGGTTCGAATTATACTTCTATTTATATTGTAGATTATTGACGATAGGCAAATTTAGGCCGATTTCTATATTATTGTTTTATCATATTACTTGTGTATATTGCATGTTTATTATATTTGTACAGTATTTTATTCTCATCCTCAATTTGAAAAAAAAATGAATTCAGTCGGGATCCACATTTGTGGATTTCGAAAGATGCCTAACCCCTTTCCTTCGAAATAACTTGAACCCCTTACTTAGAATCTAATGGTTTCGTAGATCACTTAATGGTTTCCTAGTTTTTTCCTAAAATTAGGTGGCGACTCCTTTAAAATTCTTTTTTTCTTAAAATTCTTTTAAAATTGATTTAACTGATTATTTTTTGAATCATCGCAACGTTTTGCCCTATTTGAATAGAGTAGGGATGTAAACAACATTCAAGGATTCAACCGACGGGAAGGTGAACCCATCCATGAAACGTGGGTGATGTTCAAGAAATTCTTACTTAAATGCCCAACTCACGGTCTACCAAATGAATTGCTACTCCAATATTTTTATCAGAGTCTTGATTCAGTTAAAAAAGGAGTGGTTGATCAACTGGTACGAGGGGGAATCATGTTGCAATCCTTTGAAGTGGCTACATTTCTTCTTAATGACATGACGAAAATAAATCAAGCTTGGTACACTCAAGAAGATCAAGTCTCTATGTTTTGTTTTAGAATGACACATGAACAACTTGACAAGGAAAGAGAAAGGGATGCAAACATCAAGAAAATGTTTACCCAAATGGAGCTATTACAAGAGTATATGATGGAGAATGTAGGAGAACCCAAGGGGATAAGTGGAGTGTTTAGAGTTGAGGAGGGCTCTTCCGCTGGTTATTCAAAACCAGGGGAGAATCAAGGTTGGAACTCCAAGAGATACGAGGAGGGTTTCCACCCACACTATTTACAACGAGGTGGAAATCAAGGTTGGAACAATCACAAAGGGGAAGAGCAAAGGAGATACTATCAAGATTGGACTGAACAAAATGATTATTGGAAAAGGGAGGATGACCATGAAGAGGACCACTCTCACTCGAGTAAGAGCCCAAAATCGAAAAGGAGTGCAAGTAGTCCTTGGGTGAATGATTTGCTATCACGCATCCTTGATAAAGTTGAAGGTTCAGATGATTTGTTGAAGCGGATGAAAGTTGACTTTTCATCATTGAACAATAAAGTGAACTCTCATGCAAATGCAATCAAGATACTTGAAGGTCAGTTGAGTTCACTTTCAGCACAATTGAAATCAATAATGACAATGGAGGATGATGATAGAGGCTGGTTGTGGTTACTCGAAGCGGAAAGGTAGCAGATGTATCGGGCTATAAAGAAGCTCAAATGTATGAAGAATAAAAAGGCATGGAGGAAAAAGAGTCACCTATCCATCAAAGCATTGCTAAAGAACCACAAAGAGAAATGGAGAAACACAATCCAATCCCAACCTTTACCAAAAATGTCTCCCCCATTTCCCCAATGGCTAAAGAAGAAGAACGAAGATCAGAAGTTCAAAAAGTTCTTATCGGTATTCAAGACATTGTCAATTAATCTCCCCCTAGTGGAAGCATTTTTGGAAATGTCGGGTTATGCCAAGTTTACGAAGTAGTTAGTCACAAAGAAAAGGGGCTTGGGTTTTGAGACAATTGAAGTTTCCCATAGTTGTAGTGCAATTATGACTAAAGAGCTGATAAAGAAAAGAGAAGATCCCAGAGCATTTACCATCCCTTGCACTATTGGCAAGCTACGATTTGCTAAAGCCCTATGCGATTTGGGAGCAAGCATCAACCTAATGCCATATGTGATCTATAAACAACTCGGGTTGAGGGAACCGAAAACCACAGCAATGAGACTCTTGATTGTTGACCAATCAATTAAACATCCCGTGTGGATATTATATGACATCTTGGTAAAGGTTGATCGATTCATTTTCCCGGATAATTTTGTCATTCTCGATTGTGAAATAGATGCTGAATTCCCATCATTTTAGGAAGACCATTCTTGGCAACCGAAAGAGCATTGGTGGATGTTGACAGTGGAGAATTGAAGTTTCGGGTGAATGAACATGAAGTGACCATTAATGTATGTAAGTCAATGAAACACCCAAGTGATATTCACGTGGTCTCCACTTTTGATGTTATTGATGAATCGGTGGCTAGTGTGATCCATTTGATGTGTATGAGTGAGCCACTTGAAGCCGTGCTTGCTAACTATGATGAGTTTGAAATTCAAGGGTATGAAGAGGTAGTAGTAGCTCTATCAGGCTTGGGAGGGTATTCAAAGACTCAAGTGAAGTTGTACATTGATCTAAAAAATCGAGAGAGTCCTCCCACAAAGCCATCAACAGAAGAACCACCAAATCTAGAGTTGAAAGTACTCCCCTCCCATCTATGATATACTTTCTTAGGGGAAAATAACACATTACCAGTGATCATTGTAGCTGAGTTTCTTGAATGGCAGAAAACATTCCTCCTTGAGGTGTTGCGAAGGCATATAAAAGTTGTAGGTTGGACTTTTGCTGACATAGTGGGCATTCCTCCCGGTATTTGTACACACAAAATTCAGCTTGATAATGATTGCAAGCCAAGTGTTGAACATTAGCGAAGATTGAACCCGCCAATGAAAAAGGTGGTGAAAATGAGATAATAAAGTGGTTGGACGCAAGTGTGATCTACCCTATTGCAGATAGCAAATGGGTAAGTTTGATACAATGTGTACCGAAAAAGGGAGGCATCACAGTAGTCCCAAATGAGAAGGGAGAACTTGTATCTATGAGACCGGTGACCGGGTGGAGAGTATGCATGGATTACCGAAAGTTAAACTCCTGGACTGAGAAAGATCACTTTCCCATGCCTTTCATGGATCAAATGATTGATCACCTCTCCGAGAAAGGTTGGTATTGCTTTTTGGATAGATATTCAAGTTATAACCAAATCTCTATTGCTCTGGAAGACAAAGAGAAAACAACCTTCACTTGCCTATATGGTACTTTTTCCTTCAAACAGATGTCGTTTGGATTATGTAATGCTCCAGCCACATTTCAACGTTGCATGTTATCTATTTCTGCTGACATGGTGGAGGATTCAATAGAGGTATTTATGGATGACTTTTTGGTTGTGGGAGACACCTTTGAGGCGTGTTTAGAGCATTTGGGACAAGTTTTCCAAAGATATGTGGAGACAAACTTGGTCCTCAATTGGGAAAAATGTCACTTCATGGTTAAAGAAGGTATAGTACTTGGTCACAAAAGGGGCAGGAGGTTGATAAAGCAAAGATCAAAGTGATTGAGAAATTACCACCATCAATATCGATAAATGGGGTTCATAGTTTCTTGGGACATGCCGAATTTTACCGGAGGATCATCAAGGACTTCTCAAACATTGCACATCCTCTATGCAAACTCCTAAAGAAAGAGGTAAAATTCCAATTTGATGATGCTTGTATAGTGGCTTTCAGGTGTCTGAAGGAGAAATTGGTATCCACCCCGATCATTATTAGCCCTGATTAGTCAGAACCTTTCGAATTAAAGTGTGATACAAGTGGAATGGCATTGGGTGTGGTGCTAGGGCAAAAATGCAACAAACTATTTCACCAAATTTACTACGCAAGCAAGACTTTAAACAGTGCTCAACGTAACTACACCATTATTGAACAAGAGTTTCTTGCGATAGTCTATGCATTTGAGATGTTCTGGGCATACTTGCTAGGTACTAAAGTTGTTGTTCACACTAATGATGTTGCACTACATACGTTACATGATGGCAAAGAAGGATGCCAAGCCAAGATTGATAAGGTGGGTGCTACTATTGCAAGAATTTGACTTTGAGGTCAAAGATAGGAGAGGTTGTGAAAATCAGGTGGCTGACCACTTATCAAGATTAGAAGGCAAGGTGAATTATGAGCTGAAGATTGACATCAATAATTCTTTTCCCGATGAACAAGTGTTCGTGGTAACTCTCAAACAACCTCATTGGTATGTTGATTTTGCCAATTACGTAGCGTGTGGATTAATGCCGGATGAACTGAACTTCTACAAACAAAAGAGGTTCATGTTCGATGTTAAAAAGTACTTTTGGTTCAGATAATGTGCAGATCATATCATGAGAAGGTGTGTTCCGGAAGAAGAAGCCATAGAAATTCTCCACGCTTGTTATGCTTCACCGGTTGGGGGTCATCATAGTAGTGTGCGTACAACTACTAAAGTTCTCTAAAGTGTCTACTACCGGCAATCCCTCTACAAAGATGCGCATGAATTTGTTAAGAAGTGCACCCAGTGTCCAAACGACACGAGTTACCCCTTACCCCCATTTTAGAAGTTGAACTATTTGATGTTTGGGAAATAGATTTCATGGGTCCATTTGTGAGTTCATTTGGTAATAAGTATATCTTGGTGGCTGTTGATTATGTTTCTAAATGGATGGAAGTTGTTGCACTTTCGAACAATGAAGGGAAACGTGTGGTTCAATTCCTGAAATGCAACATCTTTGCCAGATTTGGTACTCCTCGAGCTATCATTAGTGATGGTGGATCCCACTTGTGCAATAAGTGATTCTCAGCCACATTGAGTAAGTATGGAGTGAAACACAAAGTAGCAACTCCGTACCACCCCCAAACAAGCGGCCAAGTTGAAGTGTCAAACGGAGAGAGCAACTGCATCTTGGCCAAGATGGTGAATGCTAATAGGACTGATTGGTCTCGAAAGCTTGATGGCGCACTATGGGAGTATTGTACCGCATACAAAACACCAATCGGTATGTCTATGTATCAACTAGTTTTTGGTAAGTCTTGCCACCTACCTGTTAAATTGGAACACAAAGCATTGTGGGCCTTGAAGGCTCTAAATCTAGACTGGACAAAGGCTTCAAAGGAGAGAATAGAGCAGTTAAATGAGTTGGATGAATTCAGGTTCAAGGCTTACGAAAGCTCATCATTTTACAAGGAAAAGATGAAGAAATGGCATGATGCTAAAATCCTAAGGACGGAGTTCAGAGTGGGAGATTGGGTGTTACTATACAACTCTCGACTTCGACTCTCTCCAGGAAAGCTCAAGTCCAAATGGTACGACCATTTAGAGTGACACGAGGGTTCACAAATGGTGCCATCGAAGTTGAAGGTCAAGAAGGACCTGCATTTAAGGTGAATAGGCAACGTTTGAAGTTATACTTCGGCGAGTGCCAAGAGATCTCTCT